TCTCGCCAGTCAGGCGGTACATTCTGTCCGGTGTTATCTGCCTCGACGTTTGCTATCACTTTCGCTTCGACACTTGGGTGGTCGATTTTCTGCTGAATGATGGTTCTCAGCTGACCTGGCCTCTTGGTCGCGGCCAACCTTGCCAATTGATCGGCGCGCACGTTATTCTCGCGCGGTATGTGCTCAACCGACACCTCCTGAAAGTTCGCCTTCATTTTTTGGTAGGCATGGTAGTATTTCATCATCATATGGTCTTTGACTTGAAAGTTTTCACCCACCTGCTCGGCCACAACCTTGGAATCGGTCGAACATTTGATTCTCGAGGCACCCATGTCCTCGGCCAGCCTCAATCCGGCTAATAGAGCTTCGTACTCAGCCTGGTTGTTCGAGGCCTTGAATCAGAAACGCAGGGACTGTTCCAATGTAATACCATTCGGCCCTTCTAAGATCACTCCTGCTCCGCTCCCCTGGCAATTTGAGGAACCGTCCACATGGAGGGTCCACCATTGTTCCTCAAAATGGCCGTGTGGGTGCAGCTCGTTTACGAAGTCCGCCAAACACTGCGCTTTAATTGGCCCTCTCGGCTTGTATGTGATGTCGAATTGTGAGAGCTCCACTGACCAAGCCATCATTCTCTCGGCGAGTTCGGGTTTGCCCAAGACCTTAGAAATCGGGCAGTCGGTGTGTACTACTATTTGATGCTCTGGAAGTAGTGTCGCAGGCGTCGGGAGGTGTGCACTAATCCGAGTGCAACCTTCTCTATCAGTTGGTACCGAGTCTCGGAGTCCTACAGGAGTCGGCTGATAAAGTATATGGGCGCTTGGGTCCCCTCCTTTTCTTGCGCCAAAACCGAGCTGATCGCTTCGTCAGATACGGCCAAGTATACCAAAATCGGGTTCAAAGGAATAGGTCTCGCCAGGATCGGCGGCGTCGCCAAGGTTGCCTTCAACGCCCTGGAGGCCTCATCGCACGGTTCGTTCCATGAGAGGGCGCGAGAGACTCCTTGGAGTCTCTGCCTGGCATGCGCTGGGCGCAATTATTTATTGCGCCAAGTGCGTGAGAGCTTTGGGCTCTCTGGTTGAGTCCTGCCGGGCGCGGGCATGCTTGCACCGAGCGCGCTGGCCCCCTGGTGCTCTCTGGTTGTACTGCGCTGGGCGCAACCAGTGCGAGGCCGAGGTGGTAGAGTGGATGCAATTGACATTCCACAGGTGCCTTTTTCGGGCCGAGCTGTTGGCGCCTCCGCCGGCGAAACCACCTGCAATTGTGTTAATCACTCCCCACAAGGGGGCTGTCCCTGTCCCCTAGCTTACTTCGGCCTGCACTGCGCCGCCGACATTTTGTTGGGAGCCAGAGGGTTGGTCCGTGCGAGTTCCCGAGCCTCGCCCTCTGCCACGCCGCCGACCACCATAGCCTCCTCGGTGACCCTACTGTCGCTGGATGTACTGGCCGAGGTGGCCTGCCTGTATGAGCTCTTCGATGCGGTCCCGGAGCGTGCGACACTCCTCCGTGGTGTGACCGTGGTTCCTGTGGTACCGACAGTGCTTGGACTTGTCGGCGCTGTTGGGAGTGTGACCTGGTGGTGGAAGGGCGAGTAAGTTGTTGTTGCTGGCTTCTTCCAGGATGTGGACTCTGGGTGCATTCAAAGGAGTGTAGAAGTCGTATCTCCCCCCTCTGTTTGCCTTAGCTGACCTCTTGAACTAGCTGTCATTGTTGACTTTGACCTTGTCATTGTGCCCCTGCTCTGGCTTTGCTGGTCCTTTTCCGTGAACCTGGTCACGGAAGGCAGAGTGTTCCTCCATCTGGATGTAACATGCAACGCGGGCGCGGAGCTCGTCCATGTCGCGGGGGGACTCACGACACAGGTTGTCGACGAATGGCCCGGGTTTGAGTGCCATGAGCATGGCATGTAGGGCGACCTCGGGATTCAGGTTTCTAATCTTGATCGAGGTGGCGGCGAACCGTTCCATGAATGCCCGGAGTGGTTCGTCGTTGTTTTGCTTGAGACTGGCCAAGGTGGCTGAAGTGACATGATGAGGTCGGCTCGTCGCATATTGCGCGGTGAATCTCCTGACTAGGGTGCCGAAGCTGTCGATGGACTCGGGGGGCAGTTGGGTGTACCAGTTGAGCGCGGCCCCCTTGAGTGAGGTCGGAAACACCCTACACAAAATAGCATCATTGTTGGTGTAGAGATTTACCTGTGTTGTGTACAGGTCGATGTGCTCGTCCGGGTCCGTCGTACCATCGTAGCGGTCGAGGTGGAGAGGCTTCCACCCATGAGGGAGTGGTGTCTCCATAATGCCATCCACAAAAGGGTGGCGGCGGAAGGTTGCCTGATCCCCCGCGGCATGAGTAGGAGCCTTGCTGACTTCATGGGTCGGCTTGTGCGTCGGTGCATGGGACCGATGTGAAGCAGGTCTGGGGGTTGGAACCCTAGTTCCAGTCCGGGATTGGGAGACTGAGTGCTCCTGCTCCTCATTGTGGTTTCTCGTATGAGGAGGATGATCGGAGTGGTGTCGAGGTAGTTGAGCGCGGATTCGCTCGTTCTCAATGCGTAGCGCCGCCAGGTCGGCTTCATTAGCGGTACGCATTGCCGCCAGGTCAGTGTCGTGCTTGGCACGCATGTTTTGTAGGTCGGCGGCGTGTTGCTTCCGCATCTGTTCGACCTGGTCAATTAGTCTCCTCAACGCTGCTTCGTTATCCATGGTAGTTGAGTGGTTTGCGTCGTCTGTTATGCGTCTACTATGGCTTCTGGTGAAAACCATAAGCGTGGCCGATAAGAGCTGTCTTGATCGGCCCCACGGTGGGCGCCAAATGTTCTTACCAGAAATCTGCTGTAGAGTTGATCCACTAGGTAAGATCGGTGAGCCTCCTTCACGGGTACGTTGGTGCTCCAAGATAGGGGTGGTACCTGCAAAAGAGACTCCGATGCTAAAGTTAGTGTTTGTGGGAGTATGAATCTCGTATATGTAATGCACGTACCTTAGTGTGAATTAGGGTTTCTTTGGGCCTTGGGCCTGAGATAAGATATGATAGGATTAAATGATGGATCCCATCTGAAGCGAGATCCCTCGAGATCGGTTATGATCTGCTTAAATGCCGAGCTGACGTCGCGTAGCGCGTGCCCGACCTCATTTTGTGTTGTGATGCCGAGCTCGGAGCTCGGCTTCGCGGTACGGACAGTACACCAAGGTAGAATCGAGAAAATAAAAACGTGGGACGAATGGTTACGATAAGTTACATCTTAAGTCACGTAATGAGCATAGTGGATAGCGGTTATCCTCCAACAACGCACACGCACAGAATTAACTGCCCTCGATTGGCTCTATAAATAGGAAAAGTGTAGTGATTTACAAAAGTCAGAAATTCTATACTTGCACTTTGTAAGCATTCTCTGCCTGCGCATATGGCTTCCGTGCACACGATTGCTAGGTACTAATTTCTTGACCACATTTCTTTTCTTTTTCTAGGTTTAGTGTTCTTTCTTTTAATTCTGTAATTGTAGGTCTTTAATCGTAATATTGTAACTTGATCATTATGCAAAGTGGACTATGATTTGTATTGCTAATATATTTATTGTTCATTCCATTCATTTGAGTATTTATATGCATGAACATTATTGCTTGGTAATCATTAATGAATAATTGGAAACAAGTAATTATTAGTCTTTCTATTCCGTTTCTTATTCTTCATAAAGTTTAAAAACGTCAAATACCTAAATTGAAACGGGTCTCGTACTAGTTTGAATAAAAAGAATCCATAAACCAATTCCACCGCAAACACTTATATTCCTTTCAAATTTTTCCTCTTCCTAAGTACACCTAAAAGTTAAGTTGCGACTTATGACTTGCGACAAGAACTACTGAAAAACTGAACCAAAGTATAACTTAAACAACGATGAGTAATGTTCCAACAACAAAAGATTGCATAACAACTCATGAATTCTGTGATTATCTCTCCATTATTATTAATGAATATCTTTATGTAATAAAAAAAAGTGATACAGAGACAATAATAGAATTTTTAACGTAAATAATATTTTTTTAAAAAAAATTTACCAAAATAACACTTGTGCAACTTTATTTACACAACTAGAACTATTTACTGTTCACACTCAGAATTCGATTCCCCGGGAACCGAATTCTAAGCTTCAAATTTTTTTTTCTTTTTTTTGTGCTCAGAATTCGGTTCCCGGAGAACTGAATTCTAAGTTATTTTTAATTTATTTTTTTTTGGTTTATGGCTGATTTTCCGCGAGTGTTGGAACGGCCCGTTCTGCTTAAACACATAACACTCCATGTGTTTAAGCAGAACGGCCAACGGGCCGTTCTGCTTCCTGAACGGGCTGTTCTGTTTCCCAGACTTGCGCAAACTAGCAGAAAACGCTAAAAAAAAAATTAAAAATAACTCACAAAAAAAAGAAAAAAAAAATTGAAGCTTAGAATTCGGTTCCCGGAGAATCGAATTCTGAGTGTGAACAGTAAATAGTTCTAGTTATGTAAATAAAGTTGCACAGGTGTTATTTTGGTAAAATTTTTTAAAAAAAATATTATTTACGTTAAAAAAACATTATTTACGTAAAAAATTTGACAATAATATTGTCGAAATTATTATTTAAATTGTTGTTGTAAATGTGACATTACTCGACACTCAACACTGCTTAATGGTGAACTAGTGAAGTGTCTCACGTGCAAGGTAGATATTGTCAGGCGGTGAAATGTAAAAACTAAAAACCGAAAAGAACTGCGCATAGAATAAATTATGTAGTCACCATAAACGAGAACTCTTAAAAAAAAAAAAAAAAGTGGACCAAGATGTTGAGTTCCACTTTTCAGTAATAAACAAGAGAGTCTGAAAGATGCGCAAGTGGTTTCATTCAACACAGAAACAGGCACTCCCACCACGCGACTCTGCGGTTTCATCATGGCGGTTCCACGCAATATTCATCATAAACTATTCCACAAAACCAAACTAGATCCAATTAACTTCACAAGTTAAATTATTATCAATCAATAAATTAACAAATAAATTGAATTGAATTCCGAATAATCAGCCACTATCAAAGTACAACCCAAACCACTGAACTGGGTCCGGTACGGTCCAACAAAACCCCAAGTACTATATGTACAAAATCAAATATGAAACGAAACAACTCTCAAAAATAATCGAAAAAGAAAAACTGGGTGAGGGCCAAAATTAAAAATTGAACGGTTTATTGGAATTGGGGGATTTCGATCTTGGGAATCACGAAGAGACGAGGCTTCTTCATCACTGGGTGAGGGCTCTCAACCTCGTCCTCTCCGGGCTTGGTCGGAAATTCGGGAAAAGCCGGGATATTGAGATCGAAGTCACGGTGGTGGCTGTGACTAACGGTGTGAGTGGACCCCACGCCTTCGGAGGCGGTGTTACTGTTGCCGTTAGCGTTAGCGTTAGCGTTACCTTCGTAGTGACAACGTTTGTGTCCGCCGAGGGCCTGTCCGGTGGGGAAGGTTTTGTGGCAGATGGAGCACTGGTGGGTCCTAGGAGCTCCGGCGGAGCTGGTGGCGGTGGCGGTGGAGGAGGTGGGTTGGTCTTCGGCGGCAATGAGTTTGCGGTGGCTAGCCTTGTGACCGCCGAGCGCTTGGTAGGAGGGGAAGGCTTTGTGGCAAACGGAGCATTTGTAAGAGAGGTTGGAAGAATGATGGGTGGTGAGGTGGCGGTTGGTGGTGCCGCGAGCGAGCATGATGAGGCAGAGAGCGAGGTACTCTTCTTCGGAAGGGTGGTCACGCGAACGCTTGGAACGCTTGCGTTTTGCCCATGGCACGCTTGGGTCGTCGAAGGGGAAAGATGGGGCGGTTGTTGTGGGTGAGTTGAGAGCTTCCAGAGCCATGTCTATCTATCTCAAAATCAACGCTGTCTTGTGTAAGAGTGAGAGTTGGAAAGGGGTATATAAGGACGTGAGGGAAGTTGCGTGCCAAGTGGTGTGCAAGTGCAAGTAAGCGCGGTGCGCAAGCTAGCATAAATAAATTATTTATTTATTTAAAAAGAAGAGGTGGATTATAGTGGAGCACGTTTTTTTGGGAATTTCTTGGTGGGCAAGAGTGAGCTTGTGTTGTGTGGGTCAAACAAGTGCAGAGTGTGGGAGAGAGTGTGAGAGAAGTGGAGAAGCGACTGAGAAGCAACGTAAACCGAGTGAAGTCTCGAAGGAGACTTGTTCCAAATTCCAAGTTTGGGTTTGGGGTCAAAATCCACATCCACAATAATAAAAGTTCTTGTGTTGTTGGGTGGGGAGTGAACGCGGTCCAAATTGGGGATAGTCTACAGCAGCCGGCATAACTCAACCAATCACTTTTCTTTGTCAACATCTTTTGGGGGCCGACCTTTTAAGCATCACTATTCTTTTGCAACTTGGAAAGTAAGTCATCATGGATAATGTTTCCAATACCAAGGCCTTACTATAGCAAATCTAACAATTACCTTACTCAACAACATTCAAGAGTACCAAGTGTAACCTATTTAATCATCTTAGCAACTCTCATATCTACATAACTCCTTTTTTGGACTCTTGTCTATATAATTTGTTGGATTTAGGGCAGCGGGCCACCAACCAAGTTCCTATTTATAGGAGGAATCATTGGAGATTAAGTATGAAGAAAATGTCACATCTATCATCCATTAAAATAGAGTACGTTGAATAATATATAAATGAAAAAAAATTATTTATTTAATATCTTAAAATTTTGGATTATAATATAATATTAAATTTATTTATATATTTTTTTATTAATTATTAATGGAGCTCTCTATGATATTTTAGTTTCTCAACCCAATAATGATATTAAAGTCGATGATTTGACCAAACGACTAGTAGAACTATCATTAAGGTAAGGTCAATGAGGCACATTGACCTTGTTTTAAGCCCCTACTCCAAATTCACACACACACACACACAAATATATATATATAGTTCATGAAAAACTAGCCAAAAAAATGGTAAGTTTGGATTATTCCCTGTAGTCTTCGAATACAATGTCCTTCCAAGTCCAAAAGATTAACTCTCTTTGT